TTAGCGCTCCTGTCTCTTTAAATCCGGGTCCTCGAGCGGCGGCAGCGCGCAGGCGCAAAAGGCAAGCCCGTGCTACGCCACCGGTGCCGCCCCCTTCTGCCACGTGGGTCGCAGGCCCTTTCAGTCTAGAGTTGGGGATGGGCCTTGAGCTGCTGCTGCGGCGGCATGGAGGGAGGAGGTTAGGGGACGCGGTGGCTCCCCGGGGGCGCAGACTGGCCTGGATTTACGGGGATCTCCCTGATTTTGTCATCTTGGCAAAGATTAGTCCTGAAGATACTGGTTGAGAAGCTAATTTATATTGAGTTTGGGGAAGGCAAACAAAGATCGTGTCATTCAGCCGGTTTTTTCTTGACTCCCTGTCTTGCGTCCCGCACAGTGCCTAGCCCAGGGTGCCCTGCTGGTGTTCAGTAGCTCATTCCGAACTGGAAGGGGGTACTAGAGAAATTGGTAGGCAGATAACGTGTGAAAGACTGATGGGGAAAGAAACCCCTTGATTGGAGGTCGTTTAAAGTGAGTTATCTCTTCTAAACCTCAGGTCAGCTTTATGAGAATTTGGGGTGGCTATTTTCACCAAAGAGTAGCAGTCTCAGAGAGGTAAGTAACCAGGAACTGCAAACAATTGGGCCTTGTTCCATACGCAAAGAGCGGGTTCCGGGTGGAATTCTGTGCTGGAGCGCTTGGAGCGCTACAAAAGGTTTCAGGAGTAACTTAAAGCTTGGGTAGGGCAGAGGTTGAAGCAGGAGAACGAATTACAATAAAAGGCTCTCACTGCCCCTCCTCAAAGATGGCCTGAGCAAATTCAGTTAGGGTGGAGAGGAAGATGTGTTTGGAAAAATATTCAGATTTTAAATTATCTTCTAAATTGTCCATTTGTCTATTTTTGATAAAACCAAGATGACTGGAATGAATAGCTAGCTAATGGTGCCATCAACTACAGTAGAAAACGAGGGGAAAGTTTTTCCATTCCTGACTGTGCTGGGTCCACTGGTGGGTCTCTGAGACAATCTCTGTGTCTCAGAGGCTGCTCCCAGCGGCTCGAATCATCACCATGCCACAAAATGAATATATAATTTTAGAAATTATTTCATTCCATTTATTGTTATTATTTGACCAGAGAGAGACAGGCAGGGAGAGGGAAAGTGAGAAAGCAAGCCTCCAGGTTTTCTTTTTTCTTTCTTTTTTTGGAGAGGTTTTGCTATAGGGTGTGGCTTGCCAGACAGAGACAGAAAGCGAGAAATCACCCCCCTCCCTGAGGGGGGGGGCACATCACCATCCCGTTGCTCCTTTCCCTTTCCCCTCTCTGGATTTTGGGCATGCAGGGGCATGCACGGACACGCACGGGGCATGAGTTTGGGCCTCCAGGTCCGGGACAAGAACCACTGTGGACTACATGGGAGTCCAGCAACCTAGCCATTATGCTCACTGCTGGTCCCAGCAAGACTTCGGGTTTGAGACTCCAACTGCAGTCCGGCCATGTGGGAGTCCAGTGCCAAAACCACCATGCCAGCTGCTGGCCCTGAATATATTGAATTACTTCCTAAGTGCTAGGGATACTGTTTGGATTACCATGAGAAAAAAGAAAAGTCAAGAGACTCATGAATGTTCAGAGAGAAGACAAAAAAGATTATTTGTCTGAAGTTTAAGCTCTATCAGCTCCATGCTGAAGAAATACAAATGAAAAATACTCATGATGTGTGAAAAGAGAAACACCAAACAAAAGAATGATGAGAATGAA